TTGAAACTCCACCCTCTTCATGAATAAACATGATATCCTTTCCTCATCTCCAGAATCCTTAAAGGCATCACTTCTTTCTTTGTACCAAGAGCTTCCTTGTCTCTCTATGCAAAGTAATTTTCCTAAGAAGCTTTTTTCTTGCCTTGCTTAGAAAATCCTAGTCTTCTATTTTGTTATTCTTATTTAACAGGATAAAGAATCTAAATTTAAGGTATGCAATGGAGACAGTGCACAGTTGCCCTATTTAGGATGGAGTCTGGTTACAGTACTTCAGCATGCGAATACCCAAATTCCTGTACTTCTGCTGACTTCTGCTGCTCCCTTGTTATAAAACTCACTAAAGGAATTGCACAATTCATGGAAAACTCTACAGTTATAATCACAATTTCATTATGGCAAGAGTGATTTCAATGGCGAGTCACAGAGTGAGGTTTCAGAGAATTTCAAATGCAAAGTTTCCAAGTTCCAAAATGGGACAGCTACCATGTCTGCTGTCGCAGACCTCGCTAAAGTACTGAAGAGCAACAGTGTCAGTCTGGAGACTAAGGTGCACCTATCCAAGCATGGTCTTCACAATTACTTCCTATGCATCCAAGAGCTGGACAATAATTAAGGATGACTGAAGAAAGACCAAAGCCTTTGATTTGTGGTGCTGAAGAAGAGTGTTGAATGCATATTGTGGACTGCCAGCTAACAAAAAGGGGAAACTAGGCTGCTCCCCGGAGGCAAGGGTTTTGAGGCTCTGTCTCGTATACTTTGGACACATGGCCAGGATGGACCAGTCCTTGGAGAAGGACTCATGTGTGGAAGGGTGAAGGGACAGCCAGGAGACTCAGTGACTGGAGAGATGGGATTATGTCTTTAGGAGGTCATGAGATCTGACTCAGGATCGGTCAGGGCAGGGTCAGAGCTAATATACACAGGGTGGCAGCAACAACAACCATTATCTATGCATTATTATCTTTGGTTTTATTGTTGTTGATTGCCTTTCAGTAGAGCAGGACTCACTGTTTCCCTATGAACAAAAGGCCTGAAGCCCCTCTACAACTACTGACATTTATCAAAGTTCATAGAGTTTCCAGATGCCGCTCCTGCTTTCAAACCTGTTATAGCATGTTATTATTGTTATGTGCCACAGAGTTGCCCGCGATGTATAGCGACCCTATGTAATGCAGCACTGAATCCTTCCCTGTCCTGAGTCAGTTTCACTAACTCCAACACACCAACCCCCATCACTCCAGTTACTGTATCAATCCATCTCATCCTAGATCTCCCTCTTTTGCGCTGTTCGTCCAGCCTTCCAAGCATGATGTTTTTATCCAAGGACTAATATCTACTGGCCACGTGCCCAAAGTAAGTGAGGCAGAGCTTCAAAATCCTAGCCCTCAAGGAGAGACTTGGTTTCACCCTCTTTAAGATAGATCTATTTGTTTTCTTGGCAGTCCATGGCATGTTCAAGACTCTTCTCCGGCACCACAACTTGAAGGCATTTATTCTTCTTCTGTCATCCTTAGTCATGGTCCAACTCTCTAAAGCCTAACAAGTAATTGAGAAGACCATGGCCTGAATTAGGTGCACCCTTGAATCAAGATTGACATTGTTGCTCTTTAACACTCTGGAGAGTTCCATGACAGCAGATCTTTACCAACTAGAAAATCCATGGAATCTTACTGTCCAGAGCCTTTATTATTGTTGTTGTTGTATGCCTTCCAGTTGGAAATGACCCATAGCTAACCCTCCAGCAGGTTTTCAAAGGCAGTAAGTCACACTGGAGGAGTAGTTGATGGATTTGAACTGCATGCCTCCAGGGTGGCAGTACAACTCCTTACCACTATGCCACCAGAGCTCCCTAGAGCCTTACCTGGGGTCTCATTAATTTCATTAACCTAAAATCCATTGACTTAATACAGTCAGCTTATTTCGGGTCTGGCTCGCCACCACCCAAGAGACACTTCATTAGCATAACCTGTTGGAGTGGAAGTGGTTTAGAGCCCGCTTCAAAACACCTTTGATCACTAGGGAAATTCCATGAGGCTCTCTTAGGAACTAAAGACAAAATTCCAACTTTTTAGGTAAAGTTAAACCTATACTAAAGGAGCCACTGAAAGTCTCATGGAAGGAACGTGGATATGATTCTTTGGTAAAATTAGTTCATCAGGATTAAAGAAAAGGCGAAGAGAGAAAAGGTAAATAAAAGGTAAAAGAGAGAGTCTATGAGCACCTACTATGTGTTCCACACAGGAGGCAAAGTAGGTGCGACTGAAAAAAGTAGTAGCTGACTCTGCCTAAGGCTATTCTATGAGATCAAAGACAGAAACACTCTCACCTTGTGTGTGTGTGTATGTGTGTGTGTGTTGTGTGTGTGTGTGTGTAGAGCGGGGGGGGCAAAGGAGAGGAGAGAGAGAATAAAAGAAAAATACTTCAAAGACAGAAATAATTACAAGTGATTTTTCAAAGTGTGGGCATGATAAACGTAGAAGTCTCCAACTTATGACTCCAACAATGACTTAGTTTCTTACTTAGTATTGTAACTGGAAATATATATAGATACAAGAGAGACATGTGCAGCATTTTCCCCATCATTACCCAATCTTTTCAGGTTCCTGCTGGATCAAGTACAATGGTGATTGATTTTATTAAACATATGCATGGAACAATTGTATAAAACACAATGTGAATGAATGAAGAATAGTGTGAAACATAGCATACACAAACTTTGTGAACAAACCAATAATTTTAAAATAAATTTTTAAACCCCCAAAAAACAAATGAAAAAAGGGAGAGAAATGTATTGTGAATTTTAGGGTGAAATGGAAATGAGTCAAAATTTCTAGGATCAATGGCCAACATTTGTGGTGTTCACCTACTATACCTTCATCTGAGTAAGGTAATCGATTATCTTATCCAAAAAGAGAAAGTCTGGCATGGCAGGGTGATATAAAAGAACAACTGTGCTGATTTGTCTGTGTGTGTTGTACACATATTTTGTTTAGATGATCTATACTCACCTTCTGTGCAATAAAGTAAAAAACACACATAAGATTGTTGTTGTTGTTGTTAGGTGCCATCAAGTCGAGGATGGCCCATTGGGACCCTATGAACAACAGATCTGAACCCTGCGCCGTCCTGACACACCAGAGCCCACAGTGGCAGTCACTGTGTAAATGCACCTGGTAGAGGCTTCTTATTGTCTTTCATCAATCTTCCATTTCTCAGAGCATCATATCCCTCTCCAAGGAAGAGTCTCCTAGAAACGTGCCCAAAGTACGTGAGGCAAAGTATTATCATATTTGCCTCAAAGGAATATGGTTGCACCTTCCTCAAGATATATTTGTTTGTTCTTTTGGCATTCCATGGTATATTCACGGTGTAGACAAGGGATGTCTATGGCCATACCACCCTAGAAGTTCCTGATCTCAGAAGCAAATAAGCAGGGTGGGCCTGGTTAGTACTTGGATGAGTGACTGCCTGGGAATGCTGGGAGCTGTAGGCACAGAAGGCCATGGGCTTTCTGATTACTTGCTATGCATCTCAGAGCTTGACAGCAAATAAGGCAGACAGGAGGAGAATTGATGCCTTTGAGCTGTGATGTTGGAGAATAGTACTGAATATCCCAAGGACTACCCAAAGAACAAAACCCAACAACTAAAGTTAGGTTCACAAAGATCTAGAAAGCCATGCCTTTGGTCAGAAATCTATTCAGGCTGGAGAAGAGTTTCCCTGAAAAAGGCTCAGGGGGAAAATATCTACCTGTCTAAAGATCTGGTCCAGTTCTTACCTGAATCAAAGAAAGCCCTTTGGAACCACAGTAATCAATGCTCATGACTTACACACTGGACCCTGCATGAGGAAGTCTTTTAGTTCTGCTTAACAGCATGCAGTGAATGATGGAAGCAATTCTGAATGGCATGTTTGTTCTATAAAATGCATGAGAGTGATTTTATTGCCAACAGTGAGAAATCACAATAAAGTCATAGGTCGGTCCCTAAATTCAATGCAAATTTTTCCTTTCCATTTACTCTGAGATATATGGCTATTTGCTTGCAAGGCAGTTCAAATTTTCCATTTTAAAGCAAACTGCATACCTGCTAGTAGTGGTTATGCGTAAATTAACTAAATCCTGCCTAGTTATAAACCCAAGGCACTTTGACGGTTTGTTTTTAAAAGTATCAAATTCTCGCAACGATCATTTTTAGAAAAACCAGACCAACTGGAGAAGGAGAGAACAGGGGACATCTGAGAATACTGCCCCAGGATAGTCTTTATACTAGAATAAAACCTCTCTTCTGGAACCACCACCTTCTAGTGAAAACTGGATGGATACACTACAGAGAGGCTATTTATTAGTAAGACTGATTCTCTATTTAGAAACCATCACTATGACATACAAAGGTCAACAATTTTTCAAAAGCCAGCATCAAACAATAAGAGAGCAAAGAACAGTTGAACACTAGAAAAAAGAACAAAGAGAACATGGACACATCATGAGAAATGGAACCAATGTCAGAGACCATTTTGTACAGAAAAATGTCAAAGGAGAACCTAACTTCTTATATATATACATTCCCCCAAAATAACCCCCCAAACATCAAAAAACCCTCAGTAAAATACTGTTTTTGAACACAATCTTGAAAAAAGCTTTAAAAAATACTTTACTTATTTAAATATTTGCTTCATCATATTTTAATACCATTGTCTACCTGCAGTCATTGATTCTGCCATTTGTTTAAAAAGAAGAACTGTCAAACTTTAAAGAACTAATTTCTTTAGGTACAGTGGATTTCAGAGAAATTTCTTTAGTTAACTTAAAAAAAAAATCCTGGAATATGCAACAATTGTACTTTAAGAACCCTGACAGCTCTTAAATAACATAAATGATCCAGATGATATTTAAAAACACAATATTAAATATCAGCTGCTGAAAAAAGATGGTAAGGAAATGTGTCTTTTCCCTCTCCTAACATATGCTTTCCGTGACGTACCCTAGAAACCGCCCTCACCTGGTTTTGATTGTAGGTTTCTTCTTGGTTCTTCAGGTGCCTCAATGGGCTGATCAGCAAGGAACACTCTGGCTTGGTCGACAGCATTCAGGACAGAATACTCCTTCTCCTTCAGTTCCCGCCTCAGCGCCTTTGCAAAGAGAAGCCAAAGTTGAATTTGTAACTTACTGTGGTCACCAAATAATAAACCATCTTCAATTACACCACCTCTGACCACCCTTGTCAAAGGAGTGACTAAGAACCAGGACATAATCTTGGTTATATGTGAAAATGGAAATTTTATAGAGAAGAGTGAAGAAAAAGTTGAGTCTAAGCACAAAAAAAAAAGGTGGGGGTATCATATACATATGGGGGGGGAAATTCTAAAAATATTCTTAAAGTATTCACTTCAGGAAAATTATTAAAGTGTACTTGAACTTACACAAAATGTACTTTAGGGTTTTCACCACTGTTAGATAGTTAAATATAATAGTCTGTTCTCAGATACTTTTTTCTTGTAAGACTGATTGACAAAAAAATTACATCCAGTGGTTCAGAAGAAGGCAATTTTACAAGTGATAACGAGATCTTCCAAAGGGTTTCACGTTTTAGAAAGTACATTAAGGGGGAAAAATATTAAGAGACAGAAACAAATGAAAGTACATGAAGTCAAAACTAACCCAAAGCGAACGCATAAAAGACAGTCTCCAATTATTTTAAAATATGTTCCATTCCTCACGCTGAGGCAATTGCTACTTTTCTCTTGTGGGGTTTTTCATGCAAATCTATGAACCTCAGAATAGTTTGTCTTTAGCACTTTTGTTCTTTTAAGTAGGGTTATGCCTTGACTTCTTTTCTTGTAAAATGTTTACTGATTAAGACTCTAATTAGGCAGGGTCAAAAGTCAACAGAACTCATTCAGTGACGGTTGCAAGACAAAAGTACATGAAAATTGTGAAGATTTTCCTCACATGCTATTTTAATACATTAGCTAATTCAAAATTATCACCTTTGATAGCTTTTTAAAATTATACACAAAAGTACTGACTGACTTTAATATTTCCTTTAGTGCAATTCCCTAGCAACACCTTATGAAAATTCCAGTTTTACCTTCTAAGATATGGCATGCTAAATACACATTTTAAAGTCACACAGTCCATTAATTTGTTATACATTATTTACCATAATAATTTTAGGAGTATATAGTTATTTGGAGGTGAAATTTGAATTTTATCTTACGCTGTTGACACAGTACCATAAATCGATGTTGTTGATCACTGTGTTTAGAAAATGTGGAGTTGGATTTGCTGTGCATATTTTCACAAAAAAAATTTAAAAAGTAAAGAAAACAAACAAACAAAACAATTTTTGCAGAAATGTTGTCACGTGGCACTGGTTCTTAGGAAACACCATCATCTTTTGGAAGCTGGGGGTGGGGAGATGGGAGTCAGAGAAAGGAAGACCCTTAAAGAGGTGAACTGACTCAGGGGCGGCAACAATGAATGTAAGGACGGTGGGGATTGTGGGGATCAGACAAGGTGTGAGCCGACTGGACACAGGGTCACTATGAGTCACCACTGACCTGACAGCACCTATCAAGCACCACATTCCAAAAGGACCAAATTCTTTTCAGGCATTTAACCTCCTGATACATAACAGGAGACATACAAGAAAAGCAGGAAAACAGAGTTTCAATCTAGACATACAGACGTGCATTTATAGATCTGGAGTCAATTCCTCTTTTAACTTAACTTGTTAGAACAGGAAACTCTAGAGGAATCCAAATACTCCTAGTGTTCACTTATTTACTTTGAAACCATCTGGAAATGGAAAAGAATTTCAAATTTTCCATATTTTTAATTTCCCTTATTATTTTACTAGTCATTATTCTACAGAGTTCTGAAATGCTTCCTGGTAGAGGTAATATCCAAAGTGAGTCTTGCAGAAAGAGAAAGGCAGTCCTAAAAGAAGAAATGACATGATAACAGAACAAGAGACTATCCCTCGTGAACTCAGTGGCCTAAGGGAGGACATGGAGAGAAGTAAGTGCAAATGCTTTAGACTTGATCCAACAGAAAGAAGCCAAGATTGATGAGATGCGTACAGGTCAGATCACAAAGACCACGGTACAATGTCCTCACCATCCAATCAATAACTTGAGCTTTACTCAGTAACTCGTGATGGGAAGCCAGTGACGAGCTGGACGGGAGTGGACAGGGTGAATGGTCAGATTTACCTATTTGGGTATTGTTTTTATTATGTCACTGTCAAGTCTCTTAGGTTCATAAAGGATAAGTCTGAGCTGATAAAGCATTAGATTGTTGCTGTTAAGTGCCACTGAGTTGAGTGCAACTCATAGAGACCCTACGAACAACAGATCTGAACCCTGTCCCTTCCTGCGCCACCTTCCTCGTCTCTGCTACATCTCAGCCCATTGCTGTGGTCACTGTGTCAATTCATCTTGTTGGGGGTCTTCCTTTCTTTTGTTGACTCTCTACTTTTCCGCACATGATATGCCTTTCAAAGGAATAACCTCTCCTAGAAAGATGTCCAAAGTATGAGAGCTAAAGCTTCACAATCCTTGAGACTAGAAAATTCACTATTATTCTTATATGACTATGATTCACTTCAGCACTTTGGAAAAAAAAGTCCTTTATTCCCAGAGTGAGTCAGACTGTCTCTCACAGATTCTTCAGGATGACAACTTGGGGCATGACAAGGGGCAAATGTATTAGGAAACACATCAAGTTAGGAAAAAACAGGCATCTGGCCCCACTGCCAACTCCGCGCCCAAGCATCTCAGAGAAGAGCCTGCGTCTAATAATACCTGTTCAACCTCTATTTTGCAAATTTTAATTTATTATTCAATTTGTCTTATTGCAATTATATTTAATTGCATGTCAGAAATAGATTTCACTTTCAACAGCTTTATGTATCTAATCATTCCACCACCCTTTACCTTTCAATTAGACATACCCCCCTCCCCCCGCAGCATTTCCTAACCACCTGGTGAACATTAATTATAAGATAATTAAACTCCAACAGAGTTGTTTAGTATACAGAGCTACAAAGGGGTACTTAGCTTTAGGTTCTAACATCACATGACTGCTATACAGGCTGACTTTAAGAACATAATATAATCTAATTGGAATTTTTCTATTTTAATCACTTTATATTTTCATTCAAAACAGTTTTGTTCCAAGACGTAACACATATTGGCAAAGGGATGAAGAAACTAGAACCCTCAACAATTGCTTATGGGGATATAAAATGGTGTGGCCACTCTGGGAAAGATCTTAGCAATGAAATGTTAAACCCAGGTACTATATGGTACAATAACTCAACTCTTAGGGATAAAAACCAAGGAAAATGAAAGTATAAATTCACACTAACACTTGTGCACAAATATGATTGTGATCTGAACAAAAGCTAAAAAAGTATCAACATCTCAAGTGTCCATTAACAGATAAATGGATAAACAACGTGGTGTGTGTATGTGCATATATATGTGTATATCAACAGTTGGTCAGTGCCATGTTTTTGTTGTTGTTATGTGCTGTAGAGTCACCTGCCTCTCATAGTTACCCTCTAGCCCTGAACTCTGCTCTATCCTGAGCTAACCTTATTGTGTCTGATACATCTACCCTCATTACCTTAGGAACTGAGTCAATCCATCTCATTGAGGGCCTTCTTCTCTTGTGTTGTCCCTCCACTCTCCCAAGAAAGATGTCCCTTGCCAAGAACTGTTCCCTCCTTGTGACATGGCCAGAGTATGTCAGATGGAGCTTCAGAATCCTTCACTCCAATGAGCAGCCTGGTTTCACCCTCTCTAGGATGAACATATGAATGAAGATAGATAGATAGATAGATAGATGGATAGATAGATAGACAGATAGATAAAATAGATGTGTGTGTATGTGTGTATGTGTTGTTGTTGTTGTTATGTACCACTGAGTCATAACCAACTCATAGCTGACTCTCAGGTGGGTTTTCAGAAGCAGTTAACAGCATGGGAGGAAATGGCCCATCCTTCTACTCTGTGTGTGTGTGTGTGTGTGTGTGTGTATTATTGGTAATCCACTGAAAGCAATGACAATCAGATGCATGCCACCACTTGGATGAACCCTGAAAATACCATGCTTCGTAAAATAAGTCAGACACACAAAAGACCACATATTTTGGCATTCCATTAATACTAAATGCTCAGGAGGGCAAATCCACAGACACAGAAATAGACTGTGGTTGCCAAGTGACAGAGTTAGGTGGAAATGGAGCATGATTACTAATCAATACAAGGTTTCTTTCCAGGTTGAAGAGAGTTTTGTTAGTTTTGGTTTTTTGTTTTGTTTTAAATTAGGAATGGGCAATGGATGCACAATTCTTCTGTGAACATACCAAAGACCATAAACTTAACGCCTGCAGGGGTGAATCTTATGCTGCATGAACTAAAGCTGTCAAGGAGCTCTGGCGGCCTAGAGGTAAGAAGTTCACCTGCCAGCCCAATGGTATGAGATTTTAATTCACCAGCTACTTCATGGGAGAAAGATGCGCAATCTCCTTCTATGCAATTTACTGTCTCTGAAAACCCACTGGAGGGCCAGCGACACGTCGGTTCCCACTTGATGCTTGTTGTAACAACAACATAGCTTTTATGGAAAAATAAATGCCTCTAAGGGAGCTCTGGTGGCCTAGTGGCAAGAAACTGCACTGCAATTCCAGAAATACATGGTTCAAACCCACCAGATGCACTGCTGGAGAAGAAGGGGCAATCTCCTTCTGTACCAGTCAGATCTGAACTCATGGCACACACACATAAAATAATAAAATAAAGAAAAATTTTTAAAAAAGAAAAGAAAAATAAATGTCTCTAAATAATTGTCTTCATTCCTGCTCTCCCACTCCCAGCTTCTCCAAAGTAACAGCTCATATTCTGTAGTACTCTTTGGTTTTTTTTTTCACGGCTTGCTGCCCAGTCAGAACTAACTCACAGCTGAACCTCCAGTGAGTTTTTTGAGGCTGAAAATTCTAAGAAAAGAGACTGTCTATTTTACTCTCATTTGGCGGCTCTGAACCAGCAGATAAGCATAGGCTTTGGGTTGCCTGTGCAACTCGCCACAGACCAGGCCACCACAGCCACCTCTATAAATCAGC